GTGAAAGTTGAATTAAATATTTGGAAGCCGCTGCTGTAATTAAAGTGTGACAGTGAAAACAGAACTGAAGTAGTTTCAACTGAACAGAAGGAAGTTCTTTTTTCCATGTATGGTATTCAGATTTTTCCCCAACATGTAACACATCAGACAATTTAACAGGTTTCACCTTCTCAGTTTGATCGTATCTTGATTTTACTTCTTTCATAATGGCTCGTTCCTTCATCAGGGATCGCTACAGTGGTTATCGGCAAATCGATTTAGGAAGGTTTTACACCGGATGCCCTTCCAGGGCCGACCCAACCTGGGATTTGAGAACTAGGTGGTATTGAGCCCAAGACCTCCTGGTGGTAGGCAGGAGCCCTACCTCGGCACCACACCAGCCCCCCTATCATGTCTCCATTTTACTATTCATAAGTAAAGTATTAAACTAAATATTTAGCAGCTGTTTGCGAGGAGCAACACAGTATGTCAGTTATAGTACGTGTCTGGAATACTATAACCACTACTGTCTGTCTTACATAACATCAGTGTCTGCTAATATTTTCACCTAATGCAACATGAATTAAAAGAGGCAAAATTGGAGGCGCACAATTTATTTAGGGACTCACACACACACTGTTCTGTCTCAGTAAAACTGTAATGCCAAAATAAAAATATAAACAGATCAATTATGAATATCATCAGCCCTGTAAAGTTAGAAAATAAAGTACAACCAAATCTGGGCTCTATAGGCTTACAGCTCTAAGTGCTTTGATTATAATCTGCTCTGCCCTTGCTCTGGTCTCATTCTCAACCAGAACAATTAATCAATGTCTTTGAGCCACGGCTCGAATTCACATTACAAATGATATCACTGGCCTATTTAAAGCAGGTGAAGTAATTTTGGGATGTGGACATCAATATTTGATCTTTTAGATTGTAGCAGGAATTTGTTCTTTGTGAGACCATTTTCTTTTTCTTTCTTTTTGTCTCCATTTGTCTCCACTGCGCGTCGAGGCTGTCGCATTCACACACTTTAAGGTCTGTTTGAGTGACAGTTCTCCGCTGGGGTCAGCTCGTAATCTAACCCTGGGCGAGTCTGACAGAGCAACACAAAAAGAGGGAGAAAAACAACATACTTCATGTGCTCTGTCCCACTTTGTGCTATTATTACTGTGCAGGCTGGCAGGTCAGAGAGAGAGAGAGGGAGAGGGTGAGAGAGGGAGAGAGAGGGTGAGAGAGGGAGAGAGATAGAGAGAGGGAGCACCAGGCCTGATGGAGGAGAAGGAGGAGGAGGAGAAGATGAAATTACACCTGTTCTGGTGGCTGACTAACGACTTTGAAATGCGAGTGGACCTCGTTCGCCGCCAAAATCATTTTCCCAACAATACAGCCTGATCTTTAAACAAGCAGAACTGGGACACAGTGCTGACGTGACGCAAAGATGGCCTGCTGAGCTGCGACACTAACAACCCACCTGACCACGTCGGCTTGTATGTGAGTTTGCATGTTTGCAGAGAGTGCAAGTCTGCAGAACACACTGAAATTTATGTCAAATTTTGTTTTTTTTTCAAACTGTGTGGCACTGAGACCTATTCTTTAAGCCGCATTTTGAAAATTGTAAATATATATAAAAGTGTTTAAAAAAAATCCAAAACACTGACATATCTCAGACTGACAAATGCTTAAAAATATTTGAAAATGTTGCATACATTAGACATAGGACAAAACCAGGAGTTTTGCTCAAAAAGATGTTGCCTATGTCTGAAGCACTAATGCATTTTGTCTATAACTCATAGAACACCGATGCCACAGTGACTCCTGAGCTGGAAATATAATGCTGTGTGAATGCTACAGTGTAGCAGGACTGATGACCGCTTTGCTCATTCTATTGGTGAATATAGCGCCTACCTGCAGAGCTGCACTTTTAATTAAACTGTTCTCTCAAATTATTTGGCAGAACCACTGACTATGGCCCACAGAGCCCCAAGGGTCTGGGAACCCCAGGTTGAGAACTACTGCTCTAAGATGACATCTATGTCCAGGTCTCAGTGACTGTGACTGCTGCCATATGGTTGCTGTGCCCTCACTGAAGCACATCTGCTGGGTATTAGAGCGCGCGCGCACACACACACACACACACACACACAACAAACAACAAGCTCTCTCCACTGCATCCATACCCCAGACTTGTGTGGCCGACACAAGGTATCCTCACCCACCGACCCACCCACCCACGCAGGCTCACGTGCATACAGTAGCCTTTAACTTACCATCTGTTCGCTGAGGTCCTGTGAGGCCTCCATGACTTCTTTAGTCGTGATCCACTGCTCACTTGAGGGGCACATAAAAAAAAGAAATTGATGTTGGTGAGTGGACAGATATGTGTACAGTTGCATAGGCGGCCATGATAAACGACCTCCTGTCCTAACTGTTCCTGCGGGCATGCTGGTGAAAAGACAAACCTTTGGGCTCTGGTGACAAATCTAATCACTTATCCTCACATTCTGGATGAAACCAACCATTTTACTGTAAACTTTTTTTTCATGTCTCAGTACATCTGCAGGCCGGGCCTTCTGTCAGTGTGTTTATGTGTCAGCAACAGGAGCCGAAGGAGGGAAGCAGCAGCGTTAACTTCAGCATATCATCTTCAGCCGAGGGTGAAGTGGAGAGATAATTGCAGAAGTAAATATCAACAATGAAAATGGAGAAGTGTAACTGATATGGCAGCTTGGCTGGCTCAGGACCACAGACACAGTGGCTGGCTAGTGTACCAAGACAGTGAGTGACCCTGTTAACACTAGACAAGAGGCAGGTTGGGGGAGCGACGGAGATGCCTGAAGTGATCGTCTTCTGCTCAAAGCGGATAAGATGCCGCGATCAGAAAAATGGAGACAGAGTTTATACTGGAAGTTTGCAACAAAAGGCCGAGCGAAGACAAAGGAAAACAATGGCATCTTTCCAACACAACAGCACAAAATGGCTCCTCTGGGCTCTATCGTGCAAAGGCTGTCACAAAACCCTTGACAGTTGAACAAAAGCGTGGGCTGTGAAGACACGCATTCACGTGCAAACACAAATGTCCTTCCCTGCCAGTACATATGTGGTTCCCACAAAGTGTGGTAGGAGCGCCACTGAACCATTTCCAGTTTTCCCCACAAAACCTCATTTTAATGCTCCTGATCTGTTTCACCGCAGCTAAAGTAAATATAGTTTTTTTTTTTCTTTTGCTGACGAGGAACAAGCTTCAAACAAGGCTCACTATACTGTACGGCCCTACTGGGGATACAAATGTGTGTTTATTTATACTGCTGTGTACATTATTATTATTATCATTATTATTGTTATTATTATTATTATTATTATTATTATTATTATTATACACCACTAAAGACCATGTCAAAAGAGCCCAAAATAAATAAATTATAATTTAAAAAACAGCATTTTTAATTAAAATGACTCAATACAAAGTGTTATTTTTCCACAGCAAAAATAATAATATACAGATATAAAAGTAAATAAATATAAATCTAAACATATAAATTGCACCTTACAAACATTCTTAAAAATAAACAATAAAATAACTAATTTGCAACTTGAATATGGGAATTGTCCATGTAATAGGTATACGGAACAATTCTAAAATAATCATTAAATAAATAATAATCTGAAACTCGAAATATATATATGGCTATTTATTAATTAAAAAATATAGTCACTGACACCCTGCACATGAATGCACCGTGAGGTTGTAGCCCCAGGTAAACAACTTCAGAGCCTGTAAGAAAGAGAACGGTGACGTATACAGTACGACTGTACAAACAGTACATGTACTCTGTACTCAAAGTAAATTAAAACTAGACACTTTAAGGTCCTACTGATGGTGCCTGCAGGTACAAATGGAGGGAGACGGATATCACCCAAAGAACACCACCCTCAGAGTGGACAATGAAAATACCATAAATGTTAAGCTGCATCATCGGTGTATTTGAATCTTATGTGAAAAAAAAACAAAAAAACAAGAAGAATAAAAAATTAAAACTATTATCTAAGAGAGTCAAAGCAAAGCTGGGATTTGATGGCTGTTTGTCTTCTATTGTTATTCCAAAGTATAATTTGGCTCCAAGTTGAAAAGAATAAATGTTAGTGACTGATCTGCACAAAGACCTCTCCACCAAACCCCAAATACTTACTACTTCTAAATACTTCAGAGAGCTAATATTTCTGTTTTCAACTGTATACATCAGCATGACTCACTGTACTGGCCCCAGACTGTGGACTTCATAAAAAGGTTATTTAAAAAGTGGATAACTTAAGGTTAAATTAGTATCAATTTAGAGCTCTGGGACTTTTTGTGTTTGGTCAGTGTGTGTGTCTGTGTGTCTGACTCTGTGTGTGTGTGTGTGTGTGTGTGTTGCACAAAGTGGACCTTTCTGGCTCGATCCTGTAAACTCACTGGCATCCTTTTAATTTTTCATAGCGCTCAGCTCCTCCTGGCCTGAAACCGAAGACAATAATGCATCTCTCAGGTGAATTGATTTGTGCCTAGGCCTCCCAGACCCCCCCTCCTCCTCCTCCCCTCACCCTCTTCGTTCGAACCCTGTACCATAAATGCAAAGATTAGACTAAACTATAAACTATATATATATATTTATATATATGTATTTATACATATATATAGTTTATATAACTATATATATATATATATATATATATACTATATACATATATATATATATATATACATACATATATATGTATATAGTTTATCTTAAATAATGCGTTTAAAAATAAATCTTAGGAAATGCTGACAACCAACCGCTTCCGTGCCCACCTATTATGTTCTGTGTTGAGGCCCACTGCACATGAAGTGCCGTGCACGGCCCTGCAGTTACCTGACACTGCACAGGCTGCTGGGAATCAATAATGCCTGCCATTTCCTTCAGCGTCCCTGCAGAGAGAATTATATTTCTCACCACGGCTATTGACAGCGTCTTGAGGAACGCATGAGGGACGTCGGATGAGTAGAAAGTGGAGCGTACTGCGGTAATTTCACGCCATAAAAGCCTAAAGAGAGTGTCGAACAAACCGCAGACTGCTGCACGGCTGCACGCGTCCTCAGAAAAGTCACCAAATGCGCGCGTGTGTTTTATGCGCTTTTACGCACCTCGCAATTTTTGAGGACACGGTCAGAGACATTAGGCTCCAAAAGAAATTGATTTGAAGTGTTCCAGACCCTTCCTCCAACTTCAAGGCCTTGAACTCCCAGAATAACAGAATCATATTTACTATATTCAGCTAAATCACTTAGGACGCGTGCACATCACATGTGGAAATACTGTTGTGTTTTGTGGACTAAAAAATACAATTATATTTATTCAAAAATAATCATCATTAAGTATAATATTAAAATTGATAACGCTATTTTGGTTTGAAACATGTTTTTTATCAGCAGTTTTAAAAAAAAACCTTTAGAAGATGAAAGTGTTAATGAATTATATTATATTTGCAACGTTTGTTATTTTAGAGTTATAATATTGATACATATGAGGACATAATATTCATTACAGTTCTTCAACAACATAATATTGCAACTAGACGTATCAATTAATAATATTTAATTAGGTTAAAATACGAACATATATATTTTATTGCTATTTTAAAAGGTCAATTAAATATAATTTCAATTATAATTCTTTAGATTAGTTTGCATATTTTCCACTGCATTAAAAATGCAAAATAATCTTGATTTGGTTTGTAACATCTTTATATGTGTTTTATTTATTTGTCATTGCAAAGAATGGATCATTGCAGCCAAAACCCGCATTGACCATATCGCGGTCCACTCACCTTTTACGCATTAATGCGCGTTGATTAAGTTTGAGTCCTAGCTGTGAAATCTAATCTGTGTGGATTACGGCGCACCGAGGCCCTATCAGATTTGGAGTCGACGCGCAACTTGTCATGTTGTTAGGGGCAGGCCAAAAGACAGCAGCAACCCAAACCCCGAGAGCCGGCCGCGGTATACGATTCCTATTTCCTACATATCAAATATAAACACAAACTCCACGTGGGACAAGAGACGAGTGGAAAAGACGCGGACGCACGGACGGTCAGTGGCCCTCCACCAGGAGACGTGGGTTAGAAGTCCAAATGCAGCACTGACACAGATGTGCCATCTTCACATCACGGATGAGTCAAATTAAAGACAAATTAATTTATAATAAAAATAATAATAACATAAAACGCATTTAATCCAGAATTGAGATGAATCATCTATAACAGAGTATTCCACAATTAAATTATTAAGCAAAACAGATAGTGTTAAGTTTCACGATTTACTTTGACCTTTTACATTGTATTTAAGGTGGTAATTACTAGGAGTAAATCAACGCAAAATTGTTAGAATTGAATTTCAACATGAATGAATGAATTGTTATTTTTGTGTTATTAATGAAAATGTAAAACAAAGAATTTTGCACAACATACACATTTCATAAATTACATCCACCAGTACTAACTGTCATGATCATGTACACAGTTAAACCAGCAAAGTGGAAATAAATGGTGTTAAATTATGGTGTAATATTAATAAAAACATAAATCACACCTGTAAGTATGACTGTCTTTTGTCCCACGCAGAAATCTTCTCGCAGCTTTTGCTTCACTTCATTGGAGCTGTGACCATCATCAAATGCAGCGTGTGGTCGACGCACAGCTCTCCCTGCTGTCTGCAGCCCGTCACTGACCGCTCCGAGGCACTTCAGCCACTGCTGCCCATTACCGGCAAGACTTTATAAACTAAACCGATCCAAAAAACTACCCAAAACACAAGCCCGAGAAGTGAGTTACACTGGACCAGAGACCTCTACCAGGTCATACGGACGGTCCGGGACTCGGTCTCGGTGCAGGGACCTCTGACTTGTGCAGGAAAAACCATTATTTTTAGTCCGCGTCCAAGTTTGAGCAGCAGGCTGTTCATAAGCGTTAGACTCAACTTCATGACTGTAACGCGCAGGCTGCGCTGCGCATGCGCGGATGCTGCCATGCGGACACTGCTGGGTCCAAAGAAGGGGGGACAAGATAAGAGGGATGTGTCTACAAACAAACAAACAAACAGGTAGAGTTGGCAGAAATACAATCATTTCAATGTTGTTTCTTTCTGAGTTTCCTTTTTTATTTTGCAAATTGCACAACTTGACATAAGTTGTTAGACTGTTTGTATATATGTTTATCTTCGCAGCTCTATCTCACCTTAACTTAACTTCTTGTGCCTTGTTCATTATGGTTTCACACCTAAAGCTGTTGCTATCTCTGACAGGATTTTTTTTAAGGCAATAAAATGTGCCAATAAACAGTAGATGCACAGTCATGTGATCATCTGCAGAGATGCCTTGCACTTCTCCCATTTCTCGGTAGAAGGTCCAGGTCCCTAAAAATATGCTGAATGTTTTTTTTTTCTTTTATTTTTTAATGCTTTTAATTTATACTTAAAAGAATACTAAAATTTGTTCAAAACACCTATAATTACTTTATCACCTGGCACTTAACAGCATTTTTTCCAATAGCATTGCTATTAAAAAAAAGAAAAGAAAATCACAACTGCATTGTTAATACAGACTAGTGCTTTAAGTAAGGGGTGGGACCCTCTTTGGGGGTTGAAGAATCATTGCATGACAAATTAATTAAAATTATTTTTTTAATTCTGCAAAAGTGGAAAAAAAATCACTGAATTGTAATTTTATTTCCATTTTTTCTTTTGCCAAATATCTGTTTCAAGTTTCTTAGAGTTTTTCTAATCAACAGCTGTGAATGTCTGATAGCACGACAGACAAGAGCTGTTGTCGAACAGCATAAAGATCAACTGATGCTATCAGACAATGGAGAAATGTAAATGAAGAATGTTGCAGTCCTGAGGGGACAACGCTGCTCTCTTTGCGTACCGAGGAAGCGGAATATAAGCAACGCATCATAATGGACAAGACAACCATATTTTAAAGGCGCAGACAAAACAGACGACTAGGTAAGACTGAAAGTATGCCGTCTGTACAAAACAAACATCTTATGAGAGTACGGTTGTCACTGTATCACTGTTTCTCATTGTGACCAGAGAGATGACAGGTTCGGCCCTGCAGTGTGGTTTATTTGAAAAATGTCATGTTTGTTATAAGTTATGGACTCAGTGACTGTTGGAGCCCACTGGCCCTGGACCAGCACTCTTTAACCATGCTGTCATTTATTTAGCACGATGATGTCAGCAGCCTCTCTGACTGGTCTGTGACTGTTGATTTACAGATCTCCACACACACAAATGCAGTTTATTTGTTTATGACAGTCAAAGGGGATTTTGGTAATCATATTGAATAAAGAGGGTCTGAATTTTCCCTGGCAGTGTCCTTTGTACACAAACAGCGGAAAAAATGTTTTCTTTGTGGCAGTGGCTGGCAAAGCCAGAGAGAGAAAGAGAACGTCACTCACATACAAGCACAGCAAAATAAAAACAGAGAGTGAGGAGAGAATAAAAGGACGCTGACATTTCCATCTACTTCCACGGCTGCTGTGTTTACGCTCAGTTCTCTCATCCTTTTTATCTTTCCATCCCTTCACTTTCTTTTTCCATTTGTCTGTTTAATTGACTGATTGAACTGACCCCCGCCATAGGCCGTAGAGTTGGAGATGATTTACAGAGATCTGAGTTTATAAAAAAAAAACACTTAGCTCGAGTTAAACGTTTACCCCTTGCCACTGTTTTGTTATAAAGTTGTCAGAACCAGAGGCCGGAGGCCTGAGTTCAGACAAAAAGAGTAAACGTCATGTTTTTATTCATCAGTCTTTTAAAAGTGCATGCTTTAGTTAAACTAATTAAGTTTAGGGAAACGTTGTGGTGTGGACTGAAGAAACAAAATGTCTTTGTCAGGGTTAGTGAAGCTCCGTCATCATGGTTACAGTTACAAATGCGTGGTTGCAGTTCAGGATCGATCGTGGTCATGCTCCAAAGAAAAGTATTGACTGGTGAGTGGAACCAGGATAGGACCAGAGAAGTTACTGCCTCTATTAGCATCTATTTCTCAAAACTGGACCAGAACCCATGAAGACTTTTTCAGACTTTTGAGTAAAATTGATTTATTAAGAAGTTTAGATGTATTTTTGGAATAATTTAAAATGACCAGCATTGTGTGTTGTGGTATGGCACATGTCACCACATGAAGCAAACAAAGCAACGTTTTATCATTTTAGTTACTTGTTAAAAGATCGACCTTTGCGACCATGGGTGTATCCTGTTTGAGCATGATGTTCAGGCTTTGATACAGTGACTATTGAGGGAGGTAAATTAACAGTATTAAGATTCTGGCATTGAGTTTAGATGTTTTATATCACTGATTATCCTTTAAAGACTGACTTGTTTTATTTTAACAAAGAAATAAAGACATACTCAAAATGATTATACATTTTAATACCCTCATGGTTTCTCACACACTCCTGCTGCTATGAGGATATCTTATATAGATTGTTGTCTCAATTAGATCAGACCTGAGGATCACGACCACACCTAATTCTCCTTTTACACCATGCACTATATTTCTATTCATCACTGAATTGGGCCTTTAGTATCTGCATCAACAGATCACTTCTCCACAGCTGTGCAGCAACTCTCATTGACTGTGAGCGTCGACCACACACAAGGTCAAAAGCCCAGGCCTCACTTCTTTCCAGCAGAGGTTTTTAGTCATTTATTACTTGGAATTGTTCAGGATAAGATCTGCAAAGACATACGATACAGCGCACAGCAGGCACGACATTACACGACGACTGATGTACGTGTGTTTTGGCTCTGCGTATGGGGGGTCGGATTCAAACCCTTGGCAGGGCCTGTGGGCAAACAGTAGCCTGACGCTAACAGAGAGGGGGGAGAATTACAGTCAGTATGTGGCGTAATCACTGCACTTGGTCTCAGGATTAATCCACTTGAGTAAAATGTCATAGGATGCTAAATATAAAGTACAAATTTGTGAGTGATGCATCGGCAGAGCCGGTTATCAGGACAACGGTTGACAAATTCACTGTATATTCTACAGTGGTGGTCTCCTGGTATATAGTGTTTCATTCATGCTATATAACTCGCTAGTCGTTCCTTTGTCCCTGCTATTGTGTTGCTGGAGTTCACCTCACTCTACACAGACAATTGCGATGGGTGTTACCGCTGCGTTACCAACAACAGGGCCATTCTCATCATTCTCATCTGTTAAGACACATTTTTACTGCTTGCACTTGCAGACATTGGTAACTGTAAGAGTTGAAGTTACATAACACTGTGGGTCGGAGACATAAAAAAGGACCAGAATATGTTCTGTTCTATGTGTGAAAATGTTATTTGTCTTTGAACCTTTCGGTCATTGACGTATCTTCAGGTTTAAGACTCTTCGAACTTCTACTTTCCACAGTAGACCAAACCCTGCTGCTGCTGCTGCTGCTGCTTCCACACATTCTGGCAGAATAAATTAAAACCTCAAGCTCTGACAGATTCTGAAATAGCAGGAGGCTGCTGCTGCTGACCCGCTGTCTCTGGAGCCACATGTCAGCGGGCTTAAAACATTCTGCACCAAGAGTGCATGCCGGCCTACAGGTGTTTGGACTTTTCCTGCTGGAAGTGAGAGTGTCTGTGGGTGTTTACAAGAGTGAGCTGTTTAACTGCACCCGCAATAACACACCGCAGGTGTTTCTAAACAGCTGTAATTCATTTTTCTTTAACTTTTCTTTAGGTTTTTCTTTGATTGCACTGATACCCCCCCCGGAACATGAAGACAGTGGCAGATGGATCTATATTTTTGGCCAGCTGTTCTCCGGAGGGTAACTTTCGGTTAGGAGTGGGGGGGGTGAGGGGAGGTTGTACGTGTTCGCTGGGGAAGGACTCCAAGAACCTCTGCCAAGTCACAGAGCTCTTGGTACTTGCCAAGCAGGGGGTGGGTGAGAGAAAATGCCATTTAGATGGCTGGTATATATAGATATGTGAGAAACTTGTGCTGAGGCTGGGCCAAGGTGCTGACGAAGTAAAACGAGAGGACGCTTCCAGAAGTCGAGTGTCAGGGCACACAGATAAAAATACCCAGTGAAAGATGGGCCCGGTCATTAGTGGCGCGGTCTGGCATGTGACATGGCAGCATTTCAGAGGGTGATTTATGATTATTACTACAGCTGACCCCTCCCACTCGCCTTCCTGCCCCTACCCTCCTTTTCCAACATGGATTGCTAAATGGAATGGTACACAGGATTTATTTCAGGGGTCAAGTACAGGAGGTGGAAAGGTTTTGGCAACCTGCCATAAATAAACAAGAAAAACAAATGCAGTCTGTAAAAAAAAAAAAAAAGAAAAAAGAAAAAAAAAACTTTTAATTGTGATAAGTGAATTTGTACAGATTTGTTAAATTTTTCAAAAACTGAAATATCAGTCAGTTGCTCTGTCAGATATTGGTACACTGAAGTGATGGTAAACCGTGGTCCTGTTGAGGTAATGGTAATAGTGAGCGGCTAATGAGCTCATCAGAGACTGCCAGCGTTTGTAATCACTGCACAAGCTGCCACAGGGAGGAACAAAGGAAACATTTAACACGTCGTAAATTCCTGTTATGTTGGGCCAAACAAACACTTAGTCACTTTGTCTGCGTCTTTTCTTTCACTGACCCTTTATGAGCGTGCAGTTTCACAAAGTGGCCACCGTTTAGCACAAGAACTTTCACTGCAAAACAATTGAGTATAACTACAAACTTAAACATGCAGAGCTAAAATATATTTATACCCTGAAGGAGCTCATTTTCATTTAGCCATGGCACAAACTACTGCTGTTTAAAGTTTATATGAATATTTATTTATACTTTTAGTATTTAGATAAACTCCATTTAACACATTTTGTTTGTCAAATTTCAGTGAAGACTGAAGAGTGTTGTGTTGCTGCCAGTGCTGGGATTCAAACTGGCAGTCCTTCAATTTAAAGCACAATCCTTTAACAACTAGGCCCAGGCTGCATGAAATTGAGGTTTAACGTTAAACATGCTGCCCATAATTATACTTTATTAAGGATTTGAAAGCATTACAGAAAAAAAAAAAATAGTTGGAGTGAGAATAAAACAGTCCATGCTGACAAAGCAGGAGTAGAACGACTGATGTGTCGTTCAGAGACAGTGACACTGTCCAAAGACTGGGCTGAAGGTGGAGGAGATGAAGATGCTGAGATTTTCACTGGGAGTGACCCGGATGGACAGGACTACACAGGAGCAGGTCAGAGGGACAGTTAAGGTGGAGCAGTGTGGAGATAAAATGAGGGAGGAGATGGAGTGGACAGGAAAGAAAATAAGAGGAAGACGAAGAGGAGATTTGTAGACGTTGTAAATGTGGACACACACACACACACACACACACACACACATGAAAATGAATCAAAACAACTGCAATCCACTACAGATAAAATGTTATAAGGATCTTTAATTTTTTTGTCCATCTTTATTCAAAGTAAATTAACATATCCTCCTCCATGACTGTAGTTTGGACAAAAAAAACACTTAAAATGTCTTCATATGAAAGCATAAGGGAAACACTTTAACAAGAAGTTGATTTTCTTAGGGTGTAATAATTTTATCTCTCCACAGAAAAACCTGTTTTAGTTTCAAATTAAGACGTATAACAGCCCAGTCTTGACATGCGCCCTCAAAAATAATGCAACTACTCCCGGCCTTAATTGGAACTATATATCATGTGCAGGACACGACTAACGCCGACTTCTCTTAATTTGAAATAGTGTACATTGAATATCAGGTCCAGATTTAGACAGGGATAGTGTTTCCACAGACAGGGAAGCTGTGTGTGTGTGGATACAGTTAATACACATAAATACAGCAGAGCAGAGCGGCGGTGTCTCGTTGAATCCCTTCCCAGTCTTTTATCCCTGAAGGAAAATGATGGAGCATATGTCTAACTGGGAGAGATGGTGATCAAGTGTGTGAGAACAGTGGAGGGGAAAATGGAGAGAGCATAAGAGAGAGAGAGAGAGAGAGAGAGAGAGAAGGTGAGGAGGGGTCGGTCTCCTCAGTGTTACAACCTACAGTAGATGTGTACTCTGCGGCATAAGTGCAACATGTCCTGCGTACAGTATGTGATTTTTTTTCTCCTGGTGAGGGGGCAGCCCAATTAGTTTACCAGCAGCTGAGCCCGAGCGCAGGTTTGGTCCGAGCCCAGCTCCAGTATTTCTTCCAGCCTCCTCCACCTAATGGCAGCTCTGAACAGTTTTACGGCACCACCCAGGGGAGGCTACTGTAGCCAGATCCAGAACACTTGGCTTTATGTGGATTGAATGTTTTATGGTTATAGACCTAATATTAAGTATAGGAGCAGGCTGTCCTCAGGCCTAATAATTACAGCAGCCCATGAAGGCAGTGGGAACAGTACAGATGCTATATGAGAGTTATTATCATGATGTTGTACTAGACACACACTCTCTCTCTCTGTCTCACACACACACACACACACACACGAGTGGAAAAAGGATGCAGTCCTGGTGTGATCTCTTAACCCCCCCCCCCACTCCTCCAGCCCAACATTAGGGTGGCCTTTACACAGTGACAGATAATGTCAAACCCAAATAAAACAGAAACGACCCAGACAGAAGTTTGGCAACGGTTATCGCTCTTCAAGCCGACTTCATGACACAAATCTGCAGAAAATTGTACAGCGCTGTCCTCCCACAAGGCAAATATCATGTCTACAAGTCGTCAAACAATTTACTCAGCCAAAAGTTAAATAGTCACATCTGTGTCGGATCCAAAATATGTCAAATGTAATATATTTTTTATAGCAGGAGAAAAACAGGTGATCCACGTTTAACAGTGCGGAACTGTTCATCAGAGCAAATTGCTTTTACTCAGTTTATAAAATAGGAAACATGCAGTAATAATGTTCGGTATTTAAAACAAATTAACGCTTGTTTTTCTGTACTATTTGCCAGCACATGTGGTGCTGAGGGCAAATCAAGTGTTGTAGTTCTGTTTGCATGTGAATGTGTCCCTGGACACGATAGCTAACTCCCAGTTGCTCATTGCACCTCAGTCACAGGAGCGAGAAGTAACTAAGATGCGACAGAGATGTATTGTAAGTACAACACAGTAGAATCAGCTGCATTCAAAAATCTGTACTTACTTAAATACAACATACAAAAGATAAACACCTTTTTCCACTTTATCCTCATACATGTGTGACTTCACTTCTGTTGTTTTTGTCAGTAATCACTTTCTTTGCGAAAGTTAAGACTTTTTCTGTAATATTAAAAACTGTATTCTTGAATTTTCACCCATTTATTTTAGTAATTTAACGTGATTTTACTTTTTTTTCCCATGATTTGGTCCTAATACTCTGTCGTAGGTCTGAACTCTGAAGAGAAAAATATAATCGTTATTATTATTTTTATTAGAAAGAAATAAAAGACGCAAATCCCCGTGATGCAGCTGAGGCTGCGTCAACAACGCTCCTCCTTCAGCAGTAGTGAAACAGGAAGTAAAAGTAAATCTGCTCTGGGTGAATGAAGCTGCTTTCTCTCACATTCTCGTGAAGATATAAAAGTTTGTTTGGTTGGATCATCCGTCACTGTGAGTATCTGCGTGTTTTTACTGGTGTCCAGTGATATGTATTAGAAGACCGGAGTTTGGGAGCTTGATTGTGAAACGCGAGTGAATCTTTGAAAACGAAAGTAAAAAGTTTGCGAAAAACCAAATCACGCAGTACAGTAAAAGTTGAGGAGTAATGGCTCAGTCAAAGCCAGAGGCAACGTGCACCTGCCCGGTGTGCCGTGACCTGTTCACTGAGCCCGTGGTTATTCAGTGTGGTCATAGTTTCTGCGAGTCCTGTATCACTCACTGGTGGGATCTGAGTGGTCAGCGTTCGTGTCCCGTATGTAAGCAGCTCTTCCTCGGGGCTCAGCCTACGCGTAATTTTGCTCTAAAAGACCTGTGCGACACTCTGAGGCAGGAGAGGGACCAGAACCAAGGCACAGCATCCGAGGAGATGTGCAGTCTGCACGATGAGAAACGCAAACTCTTCTGTCAGGTCGACCAGGAGCTCATCTGTGTCATCTGTAAAGATTCACAGAAACACCAGAACCACAAGTGCGCCCCCGTCTGTGAAGTAGCAGAGGAAAACAGAGTGAGCAAAACCAAGCAAAACAAAACAAAAATCTTATTATACACACACACACACGCACTCGTATGACACGTACACTTTCTTCACAGACAAAGGTCAAGGTCCAACTGGCAGAGTTGAACAGCAGACTGGGATCATTTAAAAAAGCAAAAGTCAGCTGTAATTGCTTTGCCCGCCGCATCGAGGTAGGATGAAATGGTGAACGCTTTCAGTTTGTCTTTTATACATAAATTACATAAACATACAGTGTGTACATTTGTTGTTATGGCTTGTTGTATTTATTCTCCAGCTCCAGGCTCAGCAAACAGAGAAGTCCATTAGGAGGAGTTTCAAGAACTCCATGGCTTCCTCAGAAAGGAGGAGGAGGCCAGACTGGATGCATTCAGGACAGAGAAGGCACAAAAAACTGATGAAATCAACACCACTCTTACTAATTTGAATACGGAGATATCTTCACTAGAAGAGAGAGTCCAGACCATTAACCAGGAGCTGAAAGCGAAGGATCACTTATTCATGCTGGTACATGTGTTCGGTGTTCCTTATCAGGCTGGGGAGGTTATTATTATATGAAACATAATATTTATTGATAATTCAAGTGGGTTGAGACACTTTGAGATCTTATGATTTGGAATTATTACTATTTGAATTTACGGTAACAGGAAGACCATACCTGGGTAATTACCCAGCCTGTGAAGCAGTGGTGGCATCAATCAGGCACGACTTTTGAATCTATTATTGCATTTAGAACATGAATTGATTAATCCTCACCTAAAATCATGCAACTAAGAGCATTTATGATTTTGATTTTCCTACCAGCACTAATTAAACTTTGGTTAAAAAAAAGATGCAGTTGACTTATAATTAATTAATAATTTATTTTCTATTTTCTTACAGAACTTGAAATCAACTTTGGAAAAGTAAGTTTCTCTTTTTGTTTGACTTTATGGTAACTGTTGCATTTCCAATAAAGTTTTCCTCTATCTATCTATCTATCTGGATTATTATTGTACAATTTATGTTAAATAATTTATTAATTTAATTATGTTACATTTATAACCACTATTTATTTAAAATAACATTTTATTAGCCACCTAAATTATGTGATTTGACTTGATCGTCTTCAGATCACAGGTCAACCTTCCTGAGCCAAAGAGTCCATCATTAGCCCTGCTCGATTTTGGCAAACACCTGAAAAACCTGAAATTTGAAGTTGGGGAGAAGATGAAGAACACCACGCTTGAAACAATCGGTTAACAACCACTTATTTATGGCCACCATATTTCTAGCTTTTGATGCACGATAGATGTATGACACATAAACCCTGTTTTCATTTTATTTTTATCCAGGCCCTCAAAAGACCACAAGGGAACGTATACCGGTACGTCCTCAGCCCCTTGTCCTAGGAAACCCCCCCTTTGCCAAACTTCTTGCCGGTTCACTGGAAGCCCACAGGAAGAGCACTTCACCTTGGCCTAGAGCCATCAATAACATTTGAATAGAGATGAGGTGTTTGGGTCCAGGTTTGTAATCTGCCATTATTTAATTTTTTTCCTGAAACTGTCCATATTTTGAAAGACGTGCAAAAACCCTGCCAGCTCAGTTGACAGTGATACAAAGTTGAGATGATTAAATGTTTAAAGTTTAAGAAGAATGATATGTTGTTTGATTTGTTTTTCTTTTAGATCATAGTGCAATTTACAGCTTTAAATTGAACTAATTGTAGTGAGTATTTCTAAGTATAGGTCTGTATAAATGATTTATGATGATGAAAGCACTTCTTGAGCATGTTCAACACACACTGGTGAGTCTGAGTCTGTGCTGATACTGAACCTGAGTGGTATTACAGCTGGAATGCATGCTATGTTTTTTCTGCTGATGAAAGAATGGAGAGAAAAACAAACAGAGAGACCAAATTAAAAGAGGAAACAGGCTGAGAAGAAAACACGGTAGAGGTAGAGGAGGAAATTGAAGGGACTCGTGCCGCCTCTCCTTCCAGTCGCATTCCTCTGCGTGTTTGACACGATGAGCGTCTCTGCGGCCGTTTTTTCTCAGCGCTAATGAAGGTTGGAGATCACGGCTTGATTGACACAACATCTGCTCCAGTGTGGTCACGGGGGAATTGTTTCCCCTCTCTGCATTCACCGCGATACATTTCTAACTCCATAAGCCTGTCTTTGGAGGAAGCTGGAGGAGAAAACGTGTCATTATGAGTGATTACTCTGCCATTAATTTGATTAGGCAAAGTGTATTTTTCAGTTGACTTTTACAATTTGACACACACTGAGGGTTTTTGTGTTTTATTTGAGTGCAAAGGAGCAATCGTGTGGTGGATTTCACAGTGTATAATAAAAACACTTCTGGCGGTTTGAGTTATTTGAATCTCCATCTTGCATGATTCCTTCCTGTGCTCACTGTTGTTTTATCTCGGTGGAATAAGAAGAAAAAAATTTTTTTCCTTTTCCAAAATCCCCTTCAAACACCAATCACATTCTGACCACAGAGCAACATGGAGCAAGTGAGGTGACTGCGTCACATGTTATTTTTTTGGAAAGTGCAATTTTTCTTCTAATCAAAGGAAATAAACACATTCCTTTTGTGGAATTTCCAAGAACAACATACAGTGTGGAAAGTCGCTTTGACCCAAAATATTACAAACGTTTATTCACATGCGACAAAGAGAATGGTTTAAATATTTAGTGGCCTAACATTGTGGTCCCGGTACGTAGTTTCTCTACATGGTGGCAAGAGTTTGAGCTTAACAGCTACAGGTTGTGTCGAGGAGTCAAGCACAGAGTTTATGTAAGAAAAGAAGAAGAAGAAGCATAAACATCTTGTCTCCAATAATTGTTTTGGAAGTAACACAAAAAATAATCTTATGGAAAAATAAGGCTGCTCAGTAAACATCTTTAAAGTTAGTATTCAGAATTGTTTATTTAACCAAACCTTTAGTTTTCTTTAGAGGTTGGTTTCTGAAACACATTAAAAGCACATTACATTTCTAATTCTTTTCTTTCTGTCGCAACTGATTGGTACGCCCTGTACATGAAATATTTAGCAGTGTGAAATACGCCCAGTAGATGGCAGTAAAGCAACCCTTAAAGTACAAACTGCTGGTTAAGGCCAAAGTAGAAGGGTGTTGGCGTCTAACCTGGGCTGTAAAAAGACACCTGAGACGATGCGTGTGAAGTGCAGTATGCATGAGCAGCATCCATGTTCTGATGTGCTAAATGTCTCACCCAAGTAATGAAGGGATAAAACTGCAGTGCTCTAATACGACCTGGGGAATTATACACCGAGTAAAAGGATCGCAGGTCTATCAGACTCCATGGTGGAGTTTTATTCCCTTTCTTACCAAATTGTGTGAGTGACAAATGCAGTGCTTTTGAAATTGTAACTTCAGTGAACCTGCCCGACTTTATGACCTTTAGTCAGCAGATGGTAGGATCCATCTGACGTCTATGACGTCTGCTTTCTTAGGCCTGAGACACATAGAGCTAATCAAATGAATCAGGGCATTGTTTCCCAAAGACTGGGTTGCTACCCTCAGGTGGGTCGCAAGAGATTTTCTTTTGGGTCGTCTCGCATCATGTTTCCCAGAAGTTTATGAATAATGTCTATTGACTTGGGTCGTGAAGGTTTGTGACTTTTAAAATATGGCTCCCAGAAAAAAAGGTTTGGGAAATACTGGGTTAAGGTGATCAAAAGCAGACCAGCTGAATGACAGCATGGCTCTGAAGCAAATCCAAAACAGTAGGAGTGCTATCAAGTTAAGAGACAAACAGAGTGTGAAGACAGGAAGCAAACAGGAGTAAGGTCACAGATGTGCCAAGTCACTGCCTGAGGGCTGCAGACAGAGGACGTACAGTTACTGTCTAGCCCTCGCTGTCTGTCTGTCTGAACCATAGCACCCACCGGGCCTACGCTGGCTTGGCTTCTGAGAAAGAAACAGCGTGTGTGCATCATTGTGCGTGGAGGAGTTAATTGCAAATGTATATTGAGGGACGGTGTTAAATGTTGTGTAAATAAAGGGTGTCAGAGACAGAGGCAGAGTAGAGAGTGTAAGGAGCAGATAGAAGAACACGTGGACGTGTGAACTTTAATGTGGCTGCTTTTCCATCTGCTCCTTGTTTTCACGTCCCGTCTGGTCGGTTTTTACCCCTGTTTTTGTGGTCTGGATTTCTTCAAGGAGCAGGAATCCATGTGAATGATGTTGTCACCCCCTTCTCCGTCTCCCCCCCAGTTCTCTCACTCTCCGCCTCTCCATTTCTCTCTTACTTTCTTGTTTTAATGTTTTGTTTGGCATTTATGCAATCACTGAAGAATTTGAGGAACACGTGTCCTCGGCAATCACAATCATCAAATCCCTGCTGGCCTCACACACACACACACACACACACACACACACAGAGGCCTGATTACCACTCAGTCTGCTCTTCATAATGTTATGGATGCAGATTGAACATGTCAGTGAAGACCTCACAGGAGGACACTGTGGTAGTGGGAGAGGAGGATGAAGGTGGAGGTGAAGAAAACAGAGAAGGAGACGAAGAGACGGACTCTTATAAATGAATATTATAAAGCATTACAAAGTTAACCTTTGTAAAAAGACTGTTTCGAAATGGGTTATCCATTAATATGCACATACACACAATTTGTTTATATTTTAAAATACATTATACACACATAAACACATGCATGTTCTCACACACACACACACACATTTCCTCTGGCTGACATAGATGGTCAAGTGCTGTGATAAAGTGCTGTCTGATGTTCTCTCACAAGCGAAGCCCCCTGAGAGTAGATCAATACTCACTCAGCATCAGGTTACCACTAATGTCTTTATGTTTTTAACCAGGCAGTGTGTTGTTAGAGAGCCAGTCTGTGTGTGTGTACGTGTGCGTGTGTGTGTGTGTGCCCCTAGTGTGACCCAGGTTATAATTATCATTAAATGTCAATGAAGGCGATAGGAGACAGAGCCAGACTGCAGACACGCGTATTTGTCTCAAAGCCCTGACCCACAGCGCCCCCTGCGAAGAGAGTAGAAACATCTAAAAGTATATCTAATATATATGAATATGTGGCTTTTTGTGGCGTGAACTTGGATACAAAGATTCAAGGTTTTCAATTGTCATACATGAAAAAAAAAAATACAGAACTACAATTCAAGGAACTCATAATATTAATAAATGGAAATACACCAGACTAGAAGAAGAAATAAACTAGACTAGAATAAAACATGTAAACACAATTCACAAAGCTCAATTAAAAAAAAATGAAATTGACTATTTATTGAGTCTTTGCAAAATATTTATACATTAAAGCAAAAATCCTTGTCATTTGGTTTAGAGTCCTCCCCTCCAGGGGGCAGGTGTGTCTGCTGTGTGTACTTCAGGTACTGAGCTGAATACTGGTGTTTATAAGGAAAAACAAAATAAGTGTTTTCATCCAGCTCCCCCTCCCATCTCTCTCTCACCTTCACTTCTCTTTATCCATTCGCTCATCTCCCCATCCCAATCAATCTCCCCCTCCCCTCACTAATGCACTCTTTCATGTGCTCTCCTGTTTCTCCATCTCTCCCTGTCACCCCCCCCCAATGTCTCCCGAACCTTTTGTAGGCCCTTTACATTTTTGGGGGTAATGTGATCTCCCCCATTTTTCCCCAGGGTGGTCCGCTCCTCTCATTCAAACAACGAGCTGGGGCTGAATGGAGCAGGCAGAGAGAGGGGAGGCAGAGAGAGCTAGAGGGAGAGCAAGGGTGGGGGAGGAGAGAGAGAGAGAGAGAGAAACAGACATTACACCTTGTGCTTATTTTCATTCATATCTTCTGCTCTCAGGTACATGTGTGTGTGTCTGTGTGTGTGTGTTAGTGCTGTACCTGTGCCATCTGTCTACCCACACACACACACACACCTAACAGCTGCTGCCTCCAGAGTCGTCCCTAAGCAACAATTCCATTTAAATCTACTTTAAAAGTCCAAGCTGAACAGGAGCTCAGGATACAAGTGTAGTTCAGTTGTAAGAAACAACATTACATTTAACATCGGAGTTGTGATCATATTTTAGCTCTCATATATATTTTTTAATCATAGATTTTAATTTAAATCAGGACACCGTTATAGTGACAGAACGGGACACAGTATGGGCTGAGACACAGTGTTTTACCCCTGGTTCTCTGCAAACTGTCAATAAATGGGCAAAGAGCAACAAGCACATCTAATGGACACAGTTTGCCCAGTCCAAACCCATGTTTCCTTAATGAAACCTCTGTTGGCATCTATCTATTTTTAAGATATCGATAAGTGCGTTTCATGAATTAAATTTATAGATTATTATTGTTACAATCTTCCAGGCGTGACATGTGATCACTGTTGTTTTTTGGGTAACATTTTGGGCCATACTCACCAAGAAATCAGAGTGTACTTATAAGAAAAAGTAAGTTGGCTTCTTTGGCGCCTTTGTTGCCAAAATCATCTTGGCAGTATAAGGTCAGAAAATATAGATTCCACGATTTTATGAAAGTTTGAATTGGCTCCCTCTGTAATGACTGTAGCTCCTCCAAATAGAACATTTAAGGGCATTTAGAGACGGCGGTGCTCCGACTGGATCCAGAACAGTGTCTGCTCTGCACAGAGAAGACCATCTTAAAATAGATGTGTTTAAAATGATAGTGAAAGGCTGTTGCTCTGTTAACCTTAAATACACTTTGACATCTACCAGGAACCTGCATGTGTTCCTCCATGTCTCTATGGTACTCCTACCATCAACTCAATCAAACTGTGGCCTTTAATTGTTTTAGGAATAAGGACCCCAGAACTGATGGAAAGTTGCGGCAGAGACCCCTGACTCCATATATAGTGTTACATATAAAAGTGTGGTTTTATATTAAACTGGTTCCAGCTCCATATATGTTCAGCCTACAGTACTGAGCTGTTCAAATAATACTCCATTTCTTAGACAAATATGAACAAATTATATTAAAAAAAATGTCTGGTTAACCAACATATTCATGACATCCGTTGAGTACTGTCGTGCACATCAGCTTTTGCATGTTAAACAGATAGACGTGTCATACAGTTGCATGTTTTTAATGACCCCTCTTACCCCCACCGCTGACCCTCTGGCGATCATTAAGGAACGGTAAAATGTTTGATTCTGATATATGTGTTGTTTTTGTTGTCCGTCATCTGTTGCTGTTGTAAGAAGTACATTTCATACTTTCTCCTTCGATTTAGAATCAGATTCCCAATCTGCCGTGTTTGTGCTCATATAAGTTCGTAGGAATCTGGTTTCACTCAGCTCTCGGCGTAGGAACGCTCCAATACGACATATACAAACTAATTGGGAATTAAACAATAAGAAATATACACAAATACAACAT